AGAAATATGCTTTGCAATGAAATATACCCCACTCCCCCACCCCCATAAACTGACATGGCAAGCTATGAGACATTAAACATGCTAGTGCCAGTGGATCAGGCATTCATCCTGTCATTATTAAGAGCACTTCACTGGCAAATCTGGCTCAGGTTTTATGTTGAGACTTGCTTTCCAGGAAAAGGATGCTATATAACAAATAACATGGAGCCAGACCACCCATGATAATACAAAGTGAGGACAGCAGGTGTCTTTGGTACCCCCAGGCACCTGTCAGCTCCAAGTCGTGGACTGTGCAGGAGAGGGCAATTGCAAAATAGATAAATTGCACCTTCAGCTGTGGGGCTGAACATGTCAAAGTCTTAAGAGTATTCCTGAACCTTCTTACTTGTAGAGCAGCAACAGAACGTCTCATCTTCCCAAGCATCATCCCCTCCAGAGGCAGAGGGGAATCAGGGAACCAGTGTCTGTGTTGATAATTAGTTTGCTAAACAACAGTTGTACAGCGTAGCCGATCCCCTTGTAGTGAATTAAGATATACGGGGGGCTGGAGTACAGTGCCAGCATTTTTATATGCTTTTGCCTTTTTCGCTTCGTATCCCTTTCTTAGCCACTGTCAAACTGCTGAATCACAGTACAGATCCAATATCCCAAAAGTCTGTCTTGGTTATCTCTTGTTTTCAGTGTCTTTTTATTGGCCAACTCCATGGTCAGAAATATTCACAATGAAGATGTATGGACTTGCATACATTAACTAGATCTTTTTGTGGTGTGATCAGTGTGTCTGCCACCAGAATGGCAGTTCCAGTGTCAAATTTGTGAGTAAATCAGGATAATTAGTTAATTCAGGAATTTTTTGGCCCATCAATAGAAATCTTCATGCTGTTGCTACTGCTGAAAACAAATTAAGAATAACCATGTCCAGTTATTAACAATTTGTTCTAGCACAGAATCACAAATCATTATTACCCCTTTCTTCCCCAGACAAACCACCTTAGCAAAGCTTTGTTATGGCCTGTTCATAGGTAGTTTAAACAATATTGTTACTATTACAGTATTCTCAGGAAGGTAAAAGTGCCATCCACAGTGTTCAGGGAAAACAAAAGGGCTCAACTGTTGCTAGCGTGGCAATGCAAGTAGGATCACAAGAAAATAAAAATCTCAAGACCAAATTGCTTTTGATACTGTGTGCAAGTTGAAGAGGAAATATTATGAGCCTAAGAGGAGTTTCTTTTAATGCACTATCCAGAAGCGTTATTTCACCTGACAGTCATTCACAAGTTTCCTACCAGCTAAATATTTTGCAGATAGAGTTAAATTGACAGAGGTTTCAAACACATTCGGATTCTGCCTATGCAGCCTGGGAAAGGAATTTTCCACTTTGTACTGCTGAGAAAAATGTAGATGCTGTAGGCTATGGTATCATGTTCAGAGGAACAAGGTGGGTAGGATAGGGCATTAAGCACTATTATACTCTAGGGAAGAAAGAGCACACAGGGGCACAATGGAAGTGCTTGATTATATTTTAAATGGGAATAGTTCCAAGGATAGGAAAGCCTGTGGTGCTTGTAAAGGATTAAGCAAGGTAATGTGCTTTTTAAGAAGACGTAAAGAGGTATGTAATGTGATATGTTTAAGCCTAAATGATTTTTCTTGGAGTCCTCAATGAATGTTTAAGCAGGCATGACTCAGGCCTCTGCAAATCCTCTCCAAATAAATAACTTCCGTGAAATAGAGATTCCTTTAACAGAATGAGATGCATATTTCATAACCTATGCAAAAAAAAAGAAAATCCATGAGATAGATACACAAAATAATAAAGAAAAAAAGAAGATAAAAGTGAATATTCTCCAGAATAATCCAAGCACATATAAGAATACAGCTACCTCCCCTTCCATTTTGATTTGACAGAGCAGGAAGACAAACAACTGAATACCTCCCTACCTTCAATTCAGATCTTCAACTGCTTTTTGTTGCCTTTTGAGAAAGGAAGAGACAATAAGTGGCAGAAAATATCTAAAGTGCCTGCACTTTTCAGGCTGTCTCCTGTTTGAGGTATTTAAAAGTCTGCTCTCCCTTCAGGGTAAATCTACCCAGCTGCTCTCTAACCAGATCCGATGGTGTATATAGCTGTTCACTATGGATGGAATAGGAGCACACACAGTGATACATATGCGCCTCATTTATGAGAAGAGCAGGACCAATAAATATCAAAACCTGAAAACTTACAACAGCATGATCTTCCCATCTTATTTCTCTTGCCTGCCCTGCCCTCCTGCCAGGAAAAGCAGGTCAAAGTGGTAGATTGCCTGATGCAAAATGGGACTATGCAATCATTGTCATTTGGCTGTATTGTATTTTCACTCACACAGGTGCCATTCCCCATGAAGTCACTGGTACAGCAAGTGTGCAGTCCTGCTGAGCAAGCGGGATGATGCGACGAGTAAATCAGCGGTTGATCCCCCTGCCCTTCCCTCTGTTTATATATACATTAGTATTAAACTGCTACTTTCCTCAAAATAAAAAGAGTGCCAGCTCCACTGTAATTTGCAGAATAAAAGCAAGACAAAACTAAAGAACTTTTAAGATATAACAAACATGTTTCGCAAAGCCTCTTCTGCGATGGCTACTTGCAAACCCTATTTAACCTCTGAGAGGGTGCAGCAGGGACTGTTGTTAAAGAAGAACATGTCCACCACGTCCATAACATCCTTCCTGCACAGGGTGGACCCTCCTATCACAGTCACTTCATGGTCATTAGGCAGCCTAGTGGAAATCCTTTTCCTTGTACCTATTTGGAAGCACTCATTAAGTCTCAGCCTTCACTTGGCACTCCAGGAACATGTGCCGAGGTAACAGCCTCGGAGAGCTTGGACAAACTGCTATTCAGTCATGCTTTAGCGTTGATTAATGGTAGAAACAAAATGAAGCACAGAGGGAGACGTGTTGGCTTAGCTTGTCCAGGGTTATAATCTGTTTGAGTTAATAGCACTGATGTGGCCAGTTAAATTCTTTCAAGACTCCGAAGAACATTATGAAGTATATAAATAGGCCGAGGGGACCCATGAATTCTTTCCTCTGAAATGTTTTCATTTTTTGGAAGTATTTTACAGAGATTATAATCTCTGCCTCTTATCAGTTACCTTTTTAAATATTAATTTTCCTTGCCTAAAACTAGCTTTTAACATCACATTCTTCATCCAGCTTTTTTCCCGAACAGGCCAAATACAATCTTCTGTGTGAACAGCAACTGGCAAATAATCTTTTTCTGTGTCATTTCTTCCTGTAAGGTGAAAGAAAGGGAGAAACTGCACACACGTAGGTGGATATGTATGTTCATTAGAATCGGGCCTGAGCCCTTTGATATTTTAAAATTGGATGGTTGTTGGCTTGCTCACATGCTGCAACTTGGTTTTGCAACACTATAATTTGCAAGTGCTTGTTCCTGGGAAGCAGAGGCATGAGAAATTAAAGAACCCAGATATTTCTGGTTTTGTAGACTTTAAGACAGCAACTGCCATGTTTCCAGGAATGAGAAGTCAAAGGCGGTAATCTGGAATTACCTGCCAGCATGATACACTGGTTGGTTTTTTTCAGCTAAAAGCCATTAGTCAACACAGCTGTGTTTGATGTGCTCTGGTTTTTGATTCTTCTGAAACCTTTAGTATAACTTGGGAAGGCAAACCAGAAGGAGGGCAGGTTTTTTTTTATACAAAAGGCAAACCCCAGCTTTATCAGCCCCTTACAAACTGAGCTAAAATATGTTTTCTCAAAAAAAGCAATTTCCTCTAGCCAATAAATCTTCAGACTGTCTTTTTTTTTCTTGCTTTTTCAGCTTATCACTTTTTCTAAAGGGGTTTCAGAAGTGCAGTTCCCCAGGGCCTCTCTTGCCTCTTCTTTCTCGCTGTTTAGTCCTTCAGAGGAGAAAATATGATCTCAGTCATACAGAGGGTGGATCGGTGATTTTTAAAACTCTAAAGAATATTTGTTATTTTGTGTTTCTTTTATTATCAAGAGATCATCAATGATTTCATAATTCTTTTTAACATACTCTTTCTCTTACATGTTTGTACCCAGTGTGAAAACACCAGAAATTACAGGTTTTCCTGGCAAATGAATTTTGGTGGAGACAAAAGGCAGAGTTTGTCTGGATTTTTAGAAGTCTCTAAACCAAGCTTAAAACAAGTGAACACACAACTTCATGGATATTTGCTCTAATTAATATTTACATTTTGAAGTTTAAAATAAAATCTATAAAATATGATATTTCTCAGATTTGATTTAAAACTCTAAATGTGAAGATACAATGGTAGGGATAAAGTTTGTATACAGTCACTCATTAACCCATATTCACTCTCATACTGAACCCTTTCATGTACTACTGTTCTTATAAAAGCTGTAGCTGTCAACCAAAAACATGGGAGGGAACTATTGCATTCACAAATGTACCTACAAAAATTGACTCCTGCTCTCAAAGTATTTTCCCACTGCTAAACTCACTATAGAAGGTGGCTGTGAGACTCTTATTTAAAGCCAGATCACCTTTTTCTGTCTGCCTCTCTCAAAACATACATGATTCAGAGCTACAACTGAAAGCCAAGGTTTTCAGCATCAGAAGTGTACAAAAATAAGTTAATCAATGTCTTGTATTCAAGGTGCTTTAAGCTTTGTACAGTACATTGCCATATCTTCTGAGGTTTTAAGTCCAGTGATCCTATTCCCATTTTGCATCCTGACAAATGCATTCATTTCTCATTCCTATAAATCCTTTTCAGAGCAAACACTCTAGGCACTTACATTTTAAAATGTGGTTGAAAACAAGCTACATAGCTGAGAAGTCCCAATCCTCCGTGCCGATGCAATGGGCTTGCAGAAATTGGTACCAAGCATGATCATTATCTGGGTGCAAATGCACCCCTTATAGTTAAAAGCAACAACTAAGCAAATGTGGTGTTACAGCAGAGCATCTCCAATGGGAAGCAAAAAGTAAGTCATACCAGTACCTTTTGAATGCCTGCCGTTGACTCCATGACGTTGTTCTCTGAGCCGTTACTTCTGTTAATCATCCGCCACATTTGGGAATACATGCTGTCCCTCTCAAAAGGATTCATCCCTTTCACTCGGACGTGCTCATAGACTGCAGAGTCCAAGACAGTGCCATAAGGAATATCCGTCTGCCTTGAGAGATCCTGGAGAGACCTTAATTGTTGGTGAAGAAAAGAGACACAGGAGACTTGAAGCCACATTTTCAAGAGGAAGGAGTTGCAGGCAAGAAAAGGGCAACACATACGAAGACGGCTGTCAAGCCAGTTTCTTTTGTTGTTTGTCTGGGTTTTTTTTCTTTTTTTCTTAAAAGACAAAGTGAGACTGAAAAATTGTTTTTATGGTTTAAGACATAAGGAGGAAAATGAAGAGAAAGGAAGGGATGGAAAAAATGAGAATGGTTGAAAAGAGAACAACAGAAGGAGTAAGAGGATCCCGTCAAATGCCAAGAGCTCCTTTGAGCAGAGGCAGAGGAGAGAAGGGAGCATTGCAGTCCCTCCAGCCATACACAGCAAGGTCAACAGAAATAACCACCTACGACAGTACGGTGCCACCGCACACCCCGCTGCTGGGGAGCTGGAGCGTCAGCACCTGAACTCACTGAATCTAGCCCGAAGCACCTGGGCTGAGTATTTCTATGTGCTGCTGGGTTACACAATGAAGAGCAGCTTTTTAGTGGTATGCCTGTGCTGAACTGTGCACCCATTACACAAAGCAGTTCACATCCTACATTATTTTCAGTAATAGGAAGATTTCTGTTGTGGTTTCATGAACTGTCTTTTCATCACAGTCCACATCATTTAGTCCAATAAATTTGCTGTACTTTACATATTATCTTCCCTATAAGCAACAAAAATTAACCAGTTTAGGAGTTTCTAAAGCATCCCAAATATGGCTTTGTCAACCCTGCTTTGGACTTAAATAGGTATATTAGAACGCTTTAAAGCCTCCTTACCTCTTGGCCTTTATTTTCCTGTCCTATAGAATTGCTCTCCCGTACCTGTGTTTCTTTAATGGCATTCATTAAAGTTTCAAAATAACTGCTGCAATACGTCTAGTGCCTAAAACCCATTACAGTTTTCCTGGCACAAATTAACTTTGTATAAACCGCACAAATCTAGCGGATGACATCTAAGGACAAATCAAGGGTCTGAGTGCTGTCTTAAAGTAAGCAATAGCAAATTGTAAAAGCTCATCGCAGCCACAGAAAATGCAAACACAAATGTAGGAAACTCATAAAATTCCAAGTTGTGTTTCTGAAACATGTAAATATAGAGGCAAGTGAAAATGGCCCTACAGGGGGAAAAAAAGGAATTCTTAGGTGTTCCAGGGATGGCACTGAAGAAAACAGTAAGCGAATCTCAAAGGATATGCATGCCTCTGAACACAACACAAAGCAGGAAAAGAAGAAATCAATAGAGCTCAATGGCAAGGGTTTAGAGGTTAGTTGAGTCGAAAAGAAATCCTTTGAAATTCAGACATACGGGCTTAGAAAAACATTGAACAAGAGCTAAATTCTAAGCAGATAATATATAGCAAATATAAGAAAGGGATAAATTTAATTTTGAAGAGTAAATAACTAATGGTATTAAAAACCCCGCAATCCTCTCCTCTTTCTCCAACAAGATGGCATTCCGCTTCAAGAACATAAGCATCAGGGAACCTGCAAAGAATCAGTACACATATGGGATCATCAAAGGTGAGCTGCTAGATGAAACCCAGTGTATTGGTCTTCTATGAGAGGACTAACTGAGACATACCTTTTTCTAGGAAGAAAAATGTAAGACTCTACTAGACTAAGGTATCCGGAGAATAAATACTGTGGCTAACTTGTAATTAAAAAGTGAAAAAAAAAAAAAAGTCAAGTCCAGATAAACATCTATGAGTTCTGAATGACTAAATATGAAATGTCTGAGCTGTTAGCAAAAATGTGAAACCTCATTATAGACAGTGTGTGAAAGGGAAACAGTAAATATTTTTAAGAGGCTCTAGTGGTAATCAGGGGAATTACGAAAGTAAACAACTAAGATGTTATACTTAGGTTTAATAAATAAACTGAAATAAAGATTGACACAATTTTAAAGATCAGTCCTGAAGATTAGACATAGCCACCAAGGGAAAGCAATTCAATCATCTATTACACTTTGAAATTACTAAAAACCCCCAAGACTTTCAGATGAGGCTTTCATCTCATCAAACAATATACAGAAGGTGGAAGTATGGACACGCTACAAAGGAGGAATTTAGAAACATTTCCTGGCAACTCTGGATAGCATTAGGAAAGCCAACACTCAACTAGAGTGGATGCTCTCGAGGGACCTCAAGGGTAACAAAACCAGCTTTTGCAGAACTAAAAGACTGAACAAGGAAAGTGTGGACCTGTTGAGGGGGACAGCAGACACAGCTGAGGCTGAGGTGCTCAGTGCCTTCTTTGCCTCACTCTTCCCCAACAAGGTCTCCCAGGACTCTGTGACTACAGACAGGGTTCAAGAAGGCAATGAGCAACTGGCTGTAAGTGGTCAGGTAAATCCCAACCAGAAAGGCAGGGATTGATTAAGAGCATTAGACCCATAGAATTCCATGGGACCTGGCAGGCTGCATCAAAGTGTGCTGAGAGAGCTGGTCAAAGTCCTTGCAAGGCTACTTGCTTTTATTTTTGAAAGATGAAGGAGATTGGAGGAGATCCCTGACCACTGGAGAAAGGAAACGTCCAGACTATATTCAAAAAAGATAAAAAAGATGATTCATGGAATTGAGGCTGGTTATCCAACATCATGGAGTGTGTCCTCTTAGAGCACATTTCTGAGCACGTGAAGGAGAAGAAGCTGAATGGGAACAGTCAACGTCGATTTACCAAAGGTAAGACGTGCCTGACCAATCTGGTTCCCTTCTACAGTAAAATGCCTTGGTTTGTGGACAAGACCAGAGAAATTTACTTTAACGTTAGCAAGGCTTTCAATACTGTCTCCCACAATATTCTTATATCCAAATTAGGTCATTAGGTCTGGCTGGGTGGGAAACCAAATGGATAAATTCCTGGTTGGACGATCAGGCTCACAGGGTAGGTCACCTAGAGGTTGGTTACAGGTACCACAGAGGTCTAACCTGGGACATATCTTTACCAATAACCTGGAGGAGGTGAGTAAGCACCCTCTTGTCAAGTTTGCAGATGACACGACATTGGGGAACCAGCCGATTGCTCAAGGACAAGCTGCCGTTCAGGCGGACTAGACAAGCTGGAGGAATCGGCTGACAGAAGTGGTGTGAAATTCAGCAAGGACAAATGCAAAGCCCTGCACCTGGGGAGGAATAACCCCCTGCAACAACCCAGGCTGGGGTGCAGCTCTGCAGAAAGGCAGTCTGGTAGACAGCCTTGGTGAAAATTTCTCTCTTTCATCATTAGGCAAAGTGTTGTGTAGAAGTAGGTGTATTACTGTTGCATTGACAGTCTATCTGTCAAAAGCATCACTGATGAAAGGCTCTAGATAAATACAAGATACTATATGCACCCATTCTGTGTTACTGCTGCTGGTGCTGCCAATACACTTCTGTATCTCCTGGCAGTACTCTGAAGTGCAACAGTGTCGTGGTTTAACCAGTCACAGGATGCATATTGTAATGTCCTGTAATTGCTGTGTTATTTGTCACACATATTGCTAGAAAAGTATACAAAAAGTATTTACGGAGTCTCCAATTTCTAGTGACAACACCTAGCAAAATTGCAATCGTTACTTTACAAGACTCTGTATAGCCATATAATTTCTAATATAACAAGCAACAAAGCATTTTTCTGAAATATTATTGCTAACTTGTATATAAATGAGATGTGTAGCTGCTGCCACAAAACAGTATAGTTAAGAACAGCACAGAAGAAAAACAGCCTCTCTGTATATCTTGTTGCTACAAAAACAACCTTGCTATTTTCAGAAAGGCAAACCAACACAATACACGAGCTGTTAGTCCAGAAGTGTACTACAATCAGGTATGGGAAGTGTACTACAAACAGTCTGAGAAGCAAGCAAGAGAGCCACCACACACAAAGGCATCACCAGCAGGGAAATAACAAGGAGAAGAATTATGTCGATGCCTTCAGGAAGGCATGTTGTAGCTGCCAACTACAGTTGGCATTAACTACGGTCTGCAGTACTTTACTGTTTGGTGTGCTACCCTAAAACACAGGATGCCTCTCAGCCGCCCTGCTCTACATCTTTGCAGTCGTAGGTGCTGCTCTATGCTGAGAAAACGAGAGCAAGACAAGTATGAGTGTAAACTCTATGGATGCGCTAAATGCTGTTGTCAGCAGTAAGCCCCAGGCTTTGGTTCACCTGACCCTACGCTGAGGAGCGAGAAAGTTTTGCATCATCTGAGGTGTACATGTGTGTACGCTGCTGCATAGGCAAGCTGCAAAAATGGAAAAGACCTACCACGTCAGTGACTTCATCCCCTCACACAAACATGTCAAATGGGATCATAATATATATGACCTCCTCCAGAAACTGTTTTTCATAACCTGCAACTCTGCAGACTACTGGAATGACATTCACAACCTAGCAGTCAAGGTACAGCAAAACAAAGAGAAACGACAAACCTTGACAGAACTAATAAAATTATTAAACCATTGAGATTCCTTTCCAGAAGAAAGAATTTTTATAACTACTTCACCTGCAGCCTGGTTTGTAGGTTACACATTGTTTGATGTACCTTTATTCCTCATTCTCCATTCAGACAAATACATTTAGTGGAGACATAAACCCCCAGCCTCACTGTGTCACCCAGTCTCACCACACAGCTGCCCACCAGATCTCAAAATAAGGAAAAAGTATTTGTCAAACTGATTAATTCCTATGGGGTATCCTTTGATGCCCAAATTCTGATACCGTTATCCACGGTATTCCATGGATGGGAATTTAATTTTGCGATAGTTTTACTGATCTCAGTTGAAATACCTGCAAAGCAAAGCAGACATCTAACATGAGTAAAGGAATTATAATCTCACATTTTAAAACATTTATCTCTTTGGATTTCTAATTTTGAAGCAATAAGGTAATGAATGCTAAAAGTGTTTAAAAATAAAAAAGCAGATATAGTTGAAAAAATTGTTATAAAATAAAATAGCTTTAACTGAGCTTGCATATAGAAAAATTCTACTTATAGGG